TTTGCGAAAGAGAAGAGAGTGAGAGAGGGAAAGGGAGAGGGGGACAGTCAGAGAGAGGGAGCCTGAACAAAGAGAAGCAGGGAAAAGTGACAGTGACAGTGCACAAGTGTATATTTATGTGTGTGTCCAGTGATTGCAGGCAGCCTTCAGCACTTTTAGTTAGGCTATTTTTTCTCTTTTTTTGACACCCGGTGTCATGCAGAACAAATCGCCAATCGCTGACACCAGTGATTTCTCGTCTCCGGTGCTGAGAAGTGTATGTGGAGGGGAAAAAAAACTGTTGAGTCGCCCTGATGGGGAGTCGGACATTTCTGTGATTAAGTAGTAATGACCCTGGTTGTGACAGGGAAACAGAGGGTTTCAGCGGTCACAGGGCGGGGGAAACTGCACACCCCTGGGCCTTTGGACTATTTTCTGAGAGTGTATATTTATTTCAAGGCTGTTGTTTCCCAAACTGTATAAGTGGCATTTAATCTTCTGCAGGAAAAAAAGTGATGACTTTGATCGTTTTTCAGGAAATGTTCATTTCACAGATCACATCAAATATATTTGAGGATTTTTCTTTGTGTTTGTTTTGTTTTTAAAATAAAACTGTACGTAAGTAATTTGAGTTTTAAAGCAAATAAAAGTCCATCTCCAGACTTGCACCCTAGTGTCTGTCTATGAGCCTGAGCCACTAATTGTACCCTTAGTTCCTGTGGTACTGTTGCATGCCTGGGATTTACATTTGCCAAAGAACATATAACTAAGTTAAAGCGTGTGTGCAGTCGGTTGTGTGTTACAACATTACACATTTCTAACACAGAATCAGTAAATCCATTTTAATGCCTTTTTAAACCTGAACCAAAACAGCAGATCGATATACACAGTAATTAGAGTGCGACGGTACTTATGAACTTAATGGTATATTATTTAAACTGGACAGTTCTGTGGCCCCGAATGTGCAACGTATATAAATGGTATTATGAGGACATCTAGTGGCCAAAAAAAGGTAAGAGGATTTTTGATGCACATACAAACTACCCTATAAAAAAAGGATAAATAAATAAGATGATGTTTTGTTGATAAGACATATATATTTAATTAGTAAAAAAAAATGACTGAAATATTTATTTCATTATTTTCTAATGTTATACTTAAGCAAATTAGTCTTTCAATTAAATTCAAGGTGTTTTTAAAAAAAATAATTATCTTGTTTATCTTAAAAGGCTTTTTGAATGTGATTTCATAAACAAATTACATGGTAGCATTTTATTATTATTATTATACCTTTTTTTTACATTTTATTGTATTTTAATCTATTTATTTTTACAAAGTTTGTTTTTCTATATACTTGCCAACAGATATGTTCTTATTATTACCTGAGAATCGACACGTTTTGCAGTCCATACATTTCAGGAATCGATCTGCAAAGAAACCTAAATAGTAATAATAATTATTTACTTCGAATACAGCTACCGCTAAACCCTGTTTATTTCTCGCACCTCTTAAACTGTACACATCGCCATCCTTCTCAGAGTGGCCTGTATCCCTGCCTCCTGACCCTAAACATACAGTATGAATGACACTGCACACATCCGCCCTTCACGTCATCAATTCCGTAATAGCCAATCATCTTTTAGAAACGCCTCACTGTTCTTAGACGAACAGTTGCCTCGTCTAATCAGAGCTTTACAACAGATCCCTCAACCCGCCTTTCCTCTGCGAGCAGCCAATCAACAACTGACAGTAATTACTAATTCATTACTTTGCAAAGGGGAGTGACGCAGTTATTGTAGATCCAAAGATACTCCATGCCTTTTTCGTGTGACCCGAAATAACATTTATTTTAAGGATAATTGTAGTAGTTGAACTGCTCCGGAAAAAACACCAAGGTTCTCCGCAGGCCTCTGAAGGCTGCATGTCGGATCTCTGCGCCTCTTGGATTTGGATGCCATTCTGGTTGGAGGTTGCGGTACACCCCGAGGACTAGATGCGATAACCAGGACGAGATATGCCGCAGCCCAAGTCACGAAAAATCGCCATCCTCGGGTACAGATCCGTAGGTGAGTAACGACCACAACATGGCATCGTGTTTGTTTGTTTGTGTGTGTGTGAAAGGTAAAATAAAATACATTTGATCGCCCCGGATGCGACACACGGGCTTGGTTTCAGCGGCCTTTTGGGTCAATTTAAGACCATTATTTCAGCCTTCTACGCCTATTGTAGGAGAGGGGATACTATGTGTCACGCAACATCTCAGCGCCACCAGGTGAGGCGTGAGGTCAGGAGTGTCCAGCCCGACGGTAGCATCCCTTATCAAGGCTACATGATAGATAATTGATAATATTGATAGGTTTCCATCAGTGACCCTTATTCCGACTGCACAGCATTGGCTCCAAGCTGCGAACAGGCCCGACAACCGGATTTGACGCATTACTCTGCACATTGATTTGGAACCAGAGAATGCGGTAGATTTAGGACGTTGAGGATGGGAAATACTACACGAATTTACTGTGCGTGTGTGTGTGAAGCACTGCGTCTACAGGCCCAGCCAGCATGGCTGCACCAACACAACACCTATGTCCACTGAGACATGTGTTCATACAGTAGATGATACACCTACTGAAACATGACGAACTCCCATGTAAACAGAACACGTTGACGTGTCAACAGTTACTCCAACATGACCTTACTGTGATAATTATAGTAGCATGAGCAATATTAGTTATTTTTATTAGTAGTACTACTACTACTACTACTACTAGTAGTAGTAGTAGTAGTAGTGGTTGAAGTGTTACTATTCTGGCTGTTCTCATTACCAGTAATAATATGTTTGGGGTTTTTTGTGTGTGTTTTTCTGCAGGAAAGTCTTCTCTGACAATTCAGTTTGTGGAAGGCCAGTTTGTTGACTCCTATGATCCCACAATAGAAAACAGTAAGTATGGATCTAGATGACCATAACTGTTGAAATTCAATTGACACAATATATCATTTGAAACTATAGGAAGGAAAAGGCAATATTTTTATTTAAATTATTGAGACCTGCTTTTCTAAACACCTATCCACATATTGACATATATCATGAAGTATGTTTTTTCTTCGTACAACATTCTGTCAAATAAATGTCTAATTACTGATTACTGTACTATAACAATGATGACAGAGAGTGTCAAATTAGTATTTTCTACACAGTAATTTCCCCAGTCAATCAATAAAGTTTAACCTTGACCTTAACCTTAACCCTAACATAAATTAACATTCCTAAATATGACAAAATCAAATGTATTTTCTGTATAATTCCAGAACAGAAAGACCAGTGGATGGACTTAATAATACGGAAAAATGTCTTTAAAAAATGCAAAACTTGAAATGTAGCTTCATGGAGTTGGTGGATTTGAGTCACTGCTGTTTTAATCAGTATCAACGAACCCACTTTTGGATCATCAGTTAAAAAACAACGCTTAAAAAAAGATTCAGAATCATAAAATTGCAGTCGATAATAATCATCCAGTTGCTCATAGACAGCACGATGATCTTAGGAAGTTGTTCTCGGTGCTACAGGTCCTGCCGGATTCTTCTGACTGTCGCTCAACGCTATTTAATCTGCGGTTATGACCGGTGCCAGAAACTCTGAGATGCTAATGTGAAAATGTGTTACGTGGTTGCCAAATACTTAAGCGCATAGAATCTTTCCCCCTTCTCAGAATGTGTTTGGCAGAGAAGACGAACAACCGTATCTACGTAGGATTATGTCAAATAAATGATAAATTAGGAAAATATTTCAACCTGAAAACTTGAACAGTTTCTTTGTAAATTGACACAAATACAAGCTACTCTTTTGCTAAAGCTTGGCTCGGAGTAGTGATTGATTGACAACATGGCTATAATAATAATATACAGCACACATGAGTTGTAGTTGAACCGTTGGTCTCCTCAAAGTTGTACTCACTCAGATGAACTTCGATCAGAGAAACTTCACCGTCGTAATGCCTACCTCGCATCGATTGTTGCTGACGTGCTGATTGGTCTACAGCCCGACTTCAGCAGTTCAGAGAAGGCAGTTGCCTGGAGCTGCGGTCAGCAGGGTGGTTTGGCTGAAGGGGGAGAAACACACAGAAATCATCCATCAACCTCCTAAACTCACACATTTCCAGACACTTCAGAGATTTGAGCATAAACGTGTCTGGAGGCGCTTTCTCTTTTTTTGCCAGCTTGTGTTTACTCACGTACCCTCCTCTTTGCCCTCCCTTGACGCTGTAGCTCGTCTCCAACTATATATAATTCCTGAGTGGTCAATATGAGGTGAAGTATCCGCATTAGCAATACCTCAGAACTCCTGTATAAAATATCACCCTCTGCAGGCTGATGTCTACATACTGTATCTGTGCCAAATGAACTCACCAGTCCTCTCTACCTTCAGAGATTCATGTGTAGCTGGGATTTGTTTTCAGCAGGGTTTGGAGATGTTGATTTGTTGTATTGGTATTTTATTTTTGGTAAATATTTTCTATTTTTTCTTTGCAGCTTTTACTAAAATGATCACAATAAATGGACAGGAGTACCATCTTCAGCTGGTAGACACGGCAGGACAGGTATTATAAAATGTTTTTTTTTAGTTTGTAGGCTGTAATCGGCTGATATGACATCATGCAACTCTCATAAGCAACACTGAATCCATATGTCTTCCAGGATGAGTACTCCATCTTCCCACAGACATACTCCATAGATATCAACGGCTACATTCTGGTCTATTCAGTTACATCTAATAAAAGGTATTTCTTTGCTACTCCCTCTCACTACATGTTTTGTCAGAATGAACTCATTCACTGGTTTGGCTTTGAAACAAAAAAAGCCAGATTTATTTTTTAAAATGACCTTATGTTTCTGCAGCTTTGAAGTTGTACAAGTAATCCACGAAAAACTGTTGGACATGGTGGGGAAAGTACAGTGAGTGTTGACTTCTCTGCATCTCCAGTCTAATGAGTTCCCCAGAGAAACTGTACTGTGATGCTGATGTTTCTGTGTTAGTGACACCGTGCCACTTATTTGCAGAGTACCGATTATGCTGGTCGGGAACAAGAACGACCTACACATGGAGCGGTGAGTACGCGCCTTAATTCTACATTGCTTTTGATAATTAGCAGAAAATTGACGTAAATAAATTGTTTACAGGTGAATCAGATACAGGTTAGGGCAGTCATTTAAAACCTAGGGGTCGCAACCCCACATTGGGTTGCCTGGAATTCAAATGGGGTCCACAGATAGATCAGTGAACACGTTAAAACTTTAAAGTCGACTTTTACTATAATATTCTTTGAAGAAGCCTTACGTTTTTTCCAGTTTGATTCAAATTGAGATATAAAATGTAAATGCCATCCAAGGGTAACCCTTTTTGTTGTGTTTTTATTTTAAAGAGTAATCAGTTGTGAAGAGGGAAAAGCGTTAGCTGAATCCTGGAACGCTGCCTTCATGGAGTCCTCAGCTAAAGAGAACCAGGTAAGACATAAGACAGATGGAGACAGTTGGAAGAGTGTATATATTTAGCCTGCCCCCCTGCAATAGCTCTGCATCACCCCTTGGGGGAGCAAACCCATACTTGGTAATCCACTGCCTTAAACTAAGCTTGTAAAGACAGACTTTACATTTTTATGACCTTACTGATATTTTTTTAATCCATCTTCCATTTTCTAGTAAATTTTTTTTTAACTTGCTCGACGTCTTACTCTCCTAAGTTTCACATTCTGACTAATCTACGTCAGATTAAATTAGCCAGCAGTGACGTTTGGCTCAGTTTTAAAGGCTCATAAAACAATGCCATCTCTGTTACACCTAAAACCAGGGAGACTCCTCTGTATGTAGTGTGTGTGTGTGTGTGCTGCTGGAAAAATCAAAGTGGTGTGACCAAATCATGTGACAGCATCTTTTGTGCATGTGTGTGCGTGTTTTCCTCAGACGGCTGTGGAAGTTTTCCGGAGGATGATCCTGGAGGCAGAGAAGATGGACGGCGGTGTGCAGCCTGGAAAGCCATCTTGCTCCATGATGTAGAGCCACCCAATCAACACACAGGACACTGCACTGGGATATCCCGTTACTTGAAGGCTACCTGCCAGTTCTCCTCCACCTCAGCAGACTCCACCCACCAGAGTCTTAAATATCAAATATTGTTTATTTATGGCTCTGACTCCACTGTTATTTCAGTATTTCCTACTTCCTCATCCTTGGTTTACTCCATGTGTTTATAAAAGAGTGGTGGTTCTTACATAT